GCCATGGTCAAAACATATGGGAACACACGGGAACTTATGGAATCTTATGGAACTATGTATATATTATATAAACATATATAGTTGTATTTATATTCATTTATGTTGCAAAACCAACATACATAAGCACATACATAATCATACATACATATATCTGAGTAAATTATAATATTTCACTAACCTGAATTAAGGCCATTTGGGGATGATTTCCCTTACTAACCATTATTCCCGTGAGGTCGCAGTGAGGTCGTTATAATTTGCCCAGATATATGAAATCTATATATGTATATTTGCTGCAGTTGGATATGTGACCCAAATATGGCTTATCGACATCTGTCCCATAATGGGAATTCCTGACGATGGGTATATAAGTCACGATTGAGTGCATGGATTGATTACCGTCCCCCAATACGGGGAGGCTTAATCCAAGTGTTGACCATCGCAGCCATGATGTTCCCATGTTCCAGGTTTTCTTTCGAATACCAAGGCCATTGGAAGCCATGGGCCATGGTTTCTTTTTTGGAAGCCATCTTGGTTTTCTGGATAGCACATCCCCAGGAAAAGAACTAGAGGTTTTGTCCCACCCAAAAAATATATCCCAAAACAACTCCAACGGTTTCTCATCCAATGTTCCCTTCAAAAGGCTCAACTATATGTAACAAAAATGAATCTGACAATCTACGCCTTCAAACATCAGACATGGTCAGCTTTTTTGGGAAATCCCAATCTCCCCATCTCCAAACCGCCATGGCTCAACGAACCAGAGTCCTCAATGGCGATCAAGCCATTGGAGTCTGAATCCAACATGTAGAACAGGTTCTCAAAGAAGATCAGCTTCGCTGTATCCTGAAAAAGGATGGGGCACCCCCAATTATGTTTGTTAGTTTATAAGCCCCATGAATACTATAGTATACTATAGTATACTATAGTATACTATAGTTACATCTACCATAAACATCATAAACCATAGTTTTTCAGCCACTTTTTTTCAGGCAACTGAACGCTATCCAACGCCTTGGGGGGGCCGGCCCATCCTTTTTTGATCATGATCCCAAGGGAAAAGCTCCCTCCATTTTTAGTGGAGGCCAGGTCGTACCACGATCGTACCACGTGTCAGGTCTATGCCAGGGATGATTTCTGATGATTGATGATTGGTAATAGTATATAGCAATATAAATCATCAAAGTGTACAATGGTCATTAATGATAATAGTATATAGCAATAGTTGATGATTTTTTCTTGCTATTCTGTTTTTTGACTTGTTTGATTTCTTCATCACTCAGGAATTAAAAAACACCCAAATGGGAACTTGGAATCTTGCCACGTACTAGGTATTGACAATGATATCATCAAACAGACTGGGTATTTGTGCAACATTTGTACTAGGATTCTTCTCTTGCCTTGTACTGGGGATATGTGTGGATGCGATCCTCCCGGAGCAACTAGTTATATGATCCAAATTGACATTATCAACTGCGCCTAGTGTGTAGTTGACGCAGCCGCGGTATCTCCAGACCCTATGAACAAAATGTCCCATGGCATACCAACTCACAAACACGCACGTTAAGTACTGCACCACTCTGAGCCACTAGCCTAGCACTCCAAATCTCTCTTTGTTTGCTTCTTAGTGTTTCTAAATGTGTTTGACGGTTGTTTGTTGGTTGGATTTGTTTTTTGGTGTTTGATTGTTTGGTTGGTTGGCAATTTTTTTCGCAATGTCATTCCAACGATGGGACCTCCAGCGCCAGGGGTCCGACTCTGTGAGTTGTTGCTGGCCCTGTTCCTCTTGAAGCTGTTGAATGGAGCCTCAATTGGCGGCGGTAGGCTATATACACCTTTCCCAAGAAAAACGCTGGGGGAATGAGGGTTTAAGCACTGAAGAATGGGGATCTAGGGCCAATAAAAGTGGTTTCAACCAGCAAAACATGGATTTTAGTCGTTTGAAGCCCCAAACATGGGGAGATGCATGACCAACAAATAGAAAAAGGAACTTGACTATCTGTGTTGACATCTGGTCCGGCACGCTACAGGCCCTGCAGGAAAACATGGACATGTCGTGCTGTAAATCCGATGCTGTATCCAAGAAACACTGCAAGAAACCTGGGGTGTAGAAACTTGAAGGGGCCTGGTTACACACACACAGAGAGACAGAGAGATAGATGGATGGGATGGGATGGAATGGGATGGGATGGGATGAGATGGGATATATTAAGATTAAGATTAAGATGCAAATAAATATAAAGACAAGATAAGATAAGGTAAGATTAAATTAGATTAGACCAGATCAGTCATACTAGATTAGATCATACTAGATTAGATCATACTAGATTAGATCATACTAGATTAGATCATACTAGACTAGATCATACTAGATTAGATCATACTAGATTAGATAGATAGATAGATAGATAGATAGACAGATAGATAGATAGATAGATAGATAGATAGACAGATAGATTAGATAGATAGATAGATAGATAGATAGATAGATAGATAGATAGATAGATAGATAGATATAGATAGATAGATCGATAGATAGATAGATAGATTCATAGATATAGATAGATAGATAGATAGACAGATAGATAGATAGATAGATAGATAGATAGATAGATAGATAGATAGATAGATAGATAGATAGATAGATAGATAGATAGATAGATAGATAGATAGATAGATAGATAGATAGATTTCATAGATAGATAGATCGATAGATAGATAGATAGATTCATAGATGGGTTCATAGATAGATAGATAGATAGATAGATAGATAGATAGATAGATAGATAGATAGATAGATTTCATAGATAGATAGATCGATAGATAGATAGATAGATAGATAGATTCATAGATGGGTTCATAGATAGGTTCATAGATAGATAGATAGATAGATAGATAGATAGATAGATAGATAGATAGATTTCATAGATAGATAGATCGATAGATAGATAGATAGATAGATAGATTCATAGATGGGTTCATAGATAGGTTCATAGATAGATAGATATACATATATAGGGTTTAAGATTGCACGTGTAATTTTATGTACATGTATACATATATTAGAATATACGCATTTGTATAATATGAACATCATATGCAGAACTATAAGAAGTTGTATGGACAAATGACATAACATACATATACATATATACATTTATATGAATATATGCACGACATACGTATACATGATAAATTTTGAATTATGCATGTTATAAATTCGATTCATGCATCTACATGTTACATGTGTAAATATACAAAAAATAGGTCATACAAATAGTCGAAGAAATCAGGCTTCCAAACTGTTTCACCATCTGCACTACTGAGTTTGGAGGGATCCTGTCTCTGAAAAATAGGGTACCATAGGATACTTTTCAAGCAATCCAACCCACCAATGGAAGATAACCATACAGGAAGGGTACTTAGCTAGGTTGGGTGAAATATGTAGGAGCCGCCCCTTTCTGCCGGAAAATATGGTTTAACCAGGTCTTAATAGATTTAAAAGTTAAACAAATACAGTAGAAGTTTCACCAGCAAAGAAAAATGCTATATGGGCAAGCCAACTCACTAAACCTACCATTTGGGGATGGTTTATACCACCAATAAAAAATGCGGTTTTTCGGGGGGATGATCTATGGCTTTGGGTTTACCACATTAGCCAATCATTATCCTATCATTTAGTCTAACCATCACTTTAAGCTTTATCTCATTATTATCCCGTCATTATCCCATTATTAATCATTATTAATCATCATTAACCCATTATTACCCCATTATGAATCACAAATCGTTTCCCATGGCTGTTCTTCGCCCAGTTTTCAAGCCGATCAGCACGAGGCTTTGCTTTTGCCCAGCACCTCTTTGCTGATTCGTCGGTAGATGAGTCCTACGGATGTGGCCGGGAGAAGCCATGGTTTAAGCATGGTGAGGTGCGTGAGTCATGAACACCTTGCCAACATGACTCAAAAACATAGAAATCATGTAGGCAACTGTATGGGTTGTATAATTATATATCGATATTCTATTATTTCATATTTTTTCATGTTTTTGAAATTCAAAATAAATTTTACTATTAATATCCATGTAACTAGGGTAAATGGTAGATACATGGATTCATAGACCAACAAGCATAACTGGAGGGTACCACCTTCCCATATGTTCTTATATTTTCAAAATATATGTCCCTCAAATTGAAACCAAAAATCATCCTATTGGAATCCAAGATGTCCGGATGTCCGATGTTTTCATAGGCATATTTTATTACATTTAATTGTTTCCCATATTTTCATATATTTTCCATATAGCTCCCATTTTTTGATGGTGATCCTCTTGTTTCTCCCCATAGTTCACGTCCTGCTTGCGACTCCACGGCTTTCACTTCCCGGCCTGGGCTGCGATATCTTGCGATCCACGGCTTTCATGGACGTCCCAGTCAAACCTCCATTTATAAATGGTGTTCCCATTAAAAACTCCATTTATGAGGGATTTCACCCTAGTGTGATCTCAACTGCACCCCGGTTAGTAAACTACCATCATTTCATCATGGATGCGCATCCCGGTTATATAGTTTAAGTGTCGTTTACAATGACAACTAGAGTGAAATTTGGTTATAACATGTTGTGACCCACTTACTAACTGTGATGCACCTCCAAATACTGGTTCACGACCTGTAAGTGGGATATACTGTAGTGGATTATAACTATTTAACTTATAACTGAATTACTTTTCTGGTGATTGGGTAAGCTTTGAACATAGCCTTCACCCATGTTGAAAATGACCACCAGAACCAGAACTATCATCTCTTTGGTAGGGGTTTCCTATTACCCTTCATTGCCCATTGTTGGTCAGTTGACGAGGCTATGTCCAAGCGAAACTATCATATTTTAACCATTATGATGCTACTACTATTTTGACTAGTAGTATGAGCATAAGAAATCTTCCCATCCATTAAGCTCGCTGGACTGCATTGGGTGCCAGCAGTCCGGCAATCTCTATGGCTTGAAAAGCCACCAGCCCGAAATTGGAGCAAGTAATTAGGCAAGTTCTTCGGCAATTCTTCATGATACTTAACCTTTGGAGCCCCCCAAAATCCCCCAAGGTATGTTTGGCCATCGAGTCATCAACTTCCCCGTGGCCAACCTCCTGGAAATCCTGGGTGGGTTTAACCATTTGAAATATAGCGTGCATCACAACTAATCATCCCTATTGTATGATCGCAAAACATGAAAAATATCTGAAACCACCAACCAACGCAACCAGCTATACATTGAAAGACATTGTAATTATGCATATATATATATGTATAGAACCATTAAACAAGTTAAAAATCTGATGTGTGTTTGCGCAACTAATTGTCTCACTCACTCTCTCTCTCTCTCTGTGTCTGTGTGTCCGGGCCCCTGGTCTCCAAGTTCGACGCATACCCATGGCCCATGTTGTAGTTCCAACACCACATCAAAAAATATCCCTTGTAAACCAAGGAGAACATGACCACAGAACATGTTGGCCCTGGTTGTTATCACCAACGCTCAAAGATGTAAAGATCTTCAACCTGAAACCCTGCACCCAATTTCATCAGGGTCCATGATGGCGCCCCTCACGGGGATTTTTCACCAGCCATCACAACAGAGGACTGCACCGACTCCCAAAAACCGCCGGATGATCCACGAACTTGGAGACAGCTACTGCATATAAATAGCCCAGCAAATGTTTAGGAACTGGGTGATCTCTCCCCCCAAAAAAGAGTTTTTTTTTTGTTCGGGATATTAAATATACAGACACTGTGACATACTCAACCCTGGTTGAGTCGTTCAATTTGGATCATCACAGGCTGGATGGAAAACGAAGCGACAACATAGGGAACCACCAGCCAGCAAACAGTCTACCGTCCTCAGCTACAACATATTTCTGCGAAAACTACAGTTTTGATGTTTAGATCCACACTGTTGTTGGTAAAATCACAGTTTTGTTGGCTCAATCTCCATGTTCTTTGCTTTAAAGAAACGGTTCATTTTTCACAACTCCAAACTGAACTCATATGATATGTTCTTAGTTAACAGTTAACAATTACAGTAAACCAATCTTTTGTTGACGAACATCATCATACAGTATGGCCTGTTTTCTTGACAAATATCATCATGCAGTAGTTAAACATTTATACCGCCATAGAACCAATGTTTTCATATATGTTCATGCAGTAGTCGATATTAAAACCCAGATGACCAATGATTTCATATATTACCATGGAGTAGCTGACATCAAAGAACAAGTAACCCATTTGTTCATAAATATATATATATATATACATATGCACGTATATATATATATATATAGAACACATATATATATATATAGTTATAATACATATATGTATATAATACATATATGTATATAATACATATATGTATATAATACATATATGTATATAATACATAAAAATAATATACATATATCATATATATAATATATATTATGTTCATACACTAGTTGATATTAAAACCCATATATCTCTAATATCTCTAAGCCATTAATATATATATGTATATTAATATTCTTTATGAAATCCACAACTTCGCCCGTCCCCCGCAGATTCATCGCCAGGCATCGGTCCGTTTGAGAGCAGAAGAGCCAGGGAGCCAACCATGCCAACCAGTCGGGCAACAAGTGCTCCTTTTTTCAGGAACAGCCATGGTGAATCATTTTTTGTTTCATATTCGCCTAAAAAAAGTGACTAATGACCATAGTTATAACCATAGTGGTTCATAAGCAAAGTTCGAACCGTAGTGGTTCATAAGCAAAGTTAGTTAAAACTGAAAACCCATTTGTAGATGGGATATGCCACTTGATTAGGGGACTTACTAACCAAGGGTTAGTTAAAATTATAGGGACCCCCATGATACTACTCCAGCAAACGCAATCCAGAGCAGTTGCGGAGAAGGACGGATTGTTGACAACTCGGGATTGGATGGTCAGCGGAACAGGATGATAAACCGTTGATCTAAGTATTCTAAGAGGGAATATCCTGCAAATTGATCTAATTGTGTTAGACCATGTGATTCTTGACCACTTAATTACGATACACGGGATGCACATGGATCCGTAATCCCATCTCCTAAAGAGCACCCAAAAACTCAAAAACCATTGGGTCTTGACATGGTTTAACCATAAAACGTGGGGGATTTAACTAGTAAACATGGGTAATTGGGAATATTTGGGAATAAAGTCATGTGGTAAAGCCAACAAAGAACTATCCCCAATTTACCTTTATCATCTTGTATCCAATTTTATCATCTGGGGTAATTTCAAGCCATGACCAACAGGCTTCATTTCAATTACTGCAGTGCCACCTTTGTTTGGCTGGTCCAACTAAGGTTTCCTGTAGGTGTTCCCTTCAACCAACCCAAACAGTTTGATTCTTCCGCCGCCGCCACCTGTTGCCTGTTGCCAAACACACAGGAACTCCAAGAAGACCATCGAATCAGTTCGAAAAAAAAACATCCAAACCCACTTGCATTCTTTTTTAAATTGTTTTAAATAAATTGATGAACATGATCTAAGATCCTCACTTGAAGTCAGGATCCATATCAACCTGGAACCTGGTATCAAAGTTCGGGTCACCAAGCTCCCATCGCTGAAACGCTGGCGAGGATCATCCGTGTGGAAGGCAAAAAATAACACCGTCATGGTCTCTAAGAGACTCGCACAGCAAAAAAACTGGGCGCGTGGCTGCAAAGGGGACCAGGAGAGCTTCATCTAGCTACTGTTTTGGATGTTATTGCTGGGAAGTGGGAACTTAATATTCTCTTACCCCACCTGAGATGTAGTGTAGAACAAGGCAAGCCACAAGCACGCATATGTTCTGGAAGATACTTGGTCCGGTTGGTCTGGCTGGGGAAATTCACAAGCAGGAAGCCATGTCGTGCGACTCAACATCAACGTACCAAAACAGGGTATGCCGCCAAATTAACATTCAAAATGGGAACATCGTGGTTTGTTTTTTCGAAAAACGGAAAAACCATTGGATGGAATGGGCACCATATCTTCAGACAAACCCATCAGGAGGGTAGAGCACACAACAAATAATAACACATATATTTGTATTTATAAACTATTTGGGTTTGTCTAAGCCAAAAAAAACAACGGACCCTAACATGTGGTTCCTCATCACGTTTCCCTTTGTATGTCTATGTCCCATGGGGTGGACCATTCTCAAACACGCCCATCTTTCGTCCCAGGCACCCCATGCCCATGACATATCCCCCGTTCTTTGTTGGTTTTTGATACCCATTAACATCTCATTAAAAAACTCCTCAAGCAAGCATCCTTCCATCATTTTTTCCCACAAAATGTAGTGCATTAACATTAATATAACACAATAGTTATATATATAATTATATTTTAGAAAAAAGAAAAACAACTATTTTCTATATTACATGTTTTTCAGGGATGTCACCCAATTCCCACCTCACCTTTGTTGTGGCTTTAAGGTATGTTTAACATCAACCGGCACCACGGCAGCGAGTTCTCCACGTCACGGAGTTCACCAACATGAAGAGATCGATCCACAGCAGCTCGCCGCAGATGGGAACGAAGGTGGCCACTGAGGTCCGCATGACCTCCACCACCAGCAGCAGCGTGATGCCAAAGGACAGCCGTTCCTGGTTTATGATGTTTATGGCATGGAGCTGGGGGAAGATGTGGACTATATATATATATATCATATCATATATATATGATAATAAATATGATTATAATTATATACATATTTGCAGTAAAGATATAGGGTTTTCCGAAAATGGACGGCGGGAAAAGAAATGAGTTTGATGACTTTTAATGGGGAAACCAATGGAGAAAAGGGCTACCCCAAGCTGGAGCAATTGCCGACATCTCCAAATAGCAGAACATTCAGATACATTGGTCAAAAGGTTAAATGCAAATAAAAAGTCAAAACCACTGAATACCACCATCTTTTCTGAAAAACCTGTAGATAGGGAGCAGGGGAGCAAGCTCCCTGGGACTGTTCATAAGATCAAGATCAGTATGACCAGCTATGAAATACCCTAGAGGAAAAATACAGCATTTGTATGTTTCCTTGCGTCAAAAGTATGAAGTGCAGAGCAAAATGGTCTTTAACGGAAATGCTGTCCCAAGACTTCACAGAGTGGACCAACGTGGTTTCAATTGCTAAAACGCGCTAAGGGAATGCTTGCGCGGCAGCTTACGCTGATGCTTACGCAGGGTTACTGGCTCATGTGGCCATGCTGACTCTTGATTCACCCACAGGACACAGTGAATGTTTGCAGGGCGCGACGGAAAGAAATGTACATAGGAAGAAACGCCCAATGAGAATGACGAAATTCCATGAAGTTCCCTCTTGTGCTGCAGGATTGCTATCGGTATCAGCTTCCAAGCTTCAAACTATAGTCGAACTGCGCCAGCAACGACAAATTTGATAGTTGTTGCATATTGTTGCAGTAAATTCATCTTCACTTGACAGGTGATAAAGAAAAACTTCGGATCAGCCAAAGAAATCACCAGCTTGCAGCCCAGATGCCCCCACTTCGTGCGACATAAAGAACACTCCGAAGGAAAGGTAGGTGATCAGGATGGTAGGGAAGAGGATCAAGGTGCCATAGTAGAAGGTTGCCCTATGGAGTTCGATCGTGTATTTCACAATGGTCCTGGTCGCCCAGGTGTTTCAACCCAGCAACCGTCCAAGGCCTTCAAGGATAACTTGCCAAAGCTTCGCTGTCTGCTGAGTCTACTGGATGTTTACCAAGCAGTGCAACATATCTTGGTCATGAATGACGATCATTGCAACTAAGAATAGGGAAGCAAATCTAGCTGGTGGCTTTTAACACGTTGCAACCTGAAAGAAAAAAAACATGTTCAGATTTCAGATACACCCAAATGTGTCCAAAAGACCCCGTCTACGTTGCAGTTTCTGCCAAGAAACTGCTGGTAAAACAAACGCAAAGTGACTGCGATCAGCCAAGGAGCCAAGGTTGATCGGGGAAGGTATCATAGAAACTTTGCTTGTAGGAGACTTCAACAGTCCTCAGCGGGCGTAGCCGTGGCTGGCAGTGGTGTGCCGGTTCGGCTTGGCGACCTTCAGTATCCACCCCAACGGCCCAACGGCGAATACGAGGCTCCTGATCCCATATTCTTGGTAGGAAGAACCCGATGTGTCTTCCGTTGTGAGAAACACGTAGCCAGCATTTGTAAGATTGATGCCCTGGCGCCATGGAGGTTGGATGGCAACTGGATGCTTGCCATCAATACCCAGTTCAAGTGGGGGATGATCATGACACTTTGAGCTTGCAAAAGATGCAAAAGAAGAACTGGTGTCCAAGGGTTGCTGAATATTATATATATGCATATGTATATACATATGCATATATCTAGTTGTATGTGTATATATATATATTATTGTTATAGTTACAGTATGTGCTATTCGTATGTTTGTACAAATGTGAACACGTGATGGGTCAAACCCATGCCAATGCAAGTGTACACTTTATCACTTTGAAATTGAATACATATGTAAATTGCTCTCATCAGCTGTCAGCCAAGTGGTAAAACAAACACACATGACATTTCTCAATAGACACTTTATTCACTCCGCCACGTCTAACTCAATGATCATTTCCATGTGTACATGTCAGTAAATTTGACCATGCAAAGGCTAACGTGTATTTCAGTACCCTATGGATTCCATCCTGAGAAGGTACTTGACTCCTTCAAGGCTATTTGGATCCATCGAGATACCAAGAAATGACGAGCATTCCGTGTCTCAATGGATTGGTGTTCAGCGGACATCGAAAAAGGACACCATGGGATTTTCCCATGAAATAATATGAAATATGGGGGCTTCTCAGCGTTTCAAAATTTTCCGGAACCAACCAACGCAACCAACCCGACAGAAATCCAGGATGGTCCGTGCGCCTGAAATCCATCCGACAGGACCCAGGCACCCCACTCCATGGCACACTTCAATCGATCGAAGGGAAAGGCCACTAAGCCTGTGAACCTCAGGTCGTAGTCAACGACCACCAAGTAATCTGGGGAACATAAGATAAGACAACATGGCACATATAATTCTCATATATAATATGTTTATATAATATCATATACATCAATATAATTATCAACAATATTACGTGCAAATATGTATATATATATATTATAGTACTGTATCTATTTTAAAAATACATCATAAGATCTATTTATCTTTGATTTGGACCTCCAAAAAATGGCTCTCGAAAAAAATACAAAACTTTTACCAGAATGGTACGGAAAGACCATAAATTCCAAGTTTCCAAGTATTTCTATATTCTCGGATTTGAATGGGCACTCTATAGATGGATCTCATCATTGCTGGTCTTCCATTCTCTAACAGAGATTCTCATGGCACCCTTGGCGATCATCCGCTGGACCCAGATTTCACCCCCTTGAAGTTGGTTTCCCATCTTTTGAGGCGCCCTTTGGCATGGTAAAAGCCACGTGTTGTTTAACTAGGCGTGGCAACTAGGAGTGTCTCATCCGAATTTCCGAGAAATTCGGAGTGTTATTCCAAACATCAACCAGAAAATCGATTAAAACAATGATGATAAATTGATACTATACTGTAACGCAATAGTAAACCATACCCGATTTTACCATCATGGGTGGAATTAAGCATCAACATATGGGTGGCTTGTGGTTTATTATTGCGGATTATTGCTTTACTAACATTACAGTGCATTTCAAACCAAATTGTCGGATTTCCCTCTCCAAACTAACCCGGCATGTCCCGGCCTGACCCAATCAGGTCTTCCAACCAACCAACCAACCAAAGAATCACCACCAAGGAACTTGCACATGGTGTCCAGGGTTCCAGGTCTCGACCAGAAGACCGTACCGTCGCTGTAGACACTGGGTACGACATTCTCAGGGCTGAATGGAAAGTTCCAACAACCCTTTGAACTAGTGCTTAAAAAAACATGTAAGATATGTAAAACATGCAAAACACATGTAAAAACATGTGCACACCATAGTTTCCTGGACTTTTTACTTGAGTCAATCGATTGATACATGTGCCGGAGGGAAGCTTTGTTGCAGTTTCGGAAGGCTTAAAGATGCCCTGCCAGCAAAAAGGCTTCAAATATTCCCGGATTATTGAAGCAAATCCAGTTTGAATATATGTTTGAATCATGTCGATATGATGTTCGTTTTGCAACAAAGATGCCATGTGTTGCCAAGGTGCATCGGGTTGGCACCATCCAGTGTGGCTTGATTGGCTTCATTCGAATTGTAGACCTGGATGTCCTTGGGGAGTTGGCTTTGCATTTTGAAGCTTGGACAACGACTTGATTTAAGTCTTAAGTAGTGTTTCAACCGGATCATACCGCTGCAAGCCAGCTCGTACATTAAATGATCATTAGCGACTGGTAGTTTCTTCAAACTGGAAATGCCCCCAAAACGATCATCCAACCCATGACCATTTTAGTTGATTTTTCTCCAGCACGTTTTTGGGGAGTTCCCCATTTCAACCAACGTTTAACAAATGGAAATATACGGAAAGTGTTTCATCCCACCTAGTAGATGCATAGAAAACCCACTATAACCCACTGATATACTTCAGCAGGGGGCCGCAATTTCCAGTTACAACATGTTCCAACTGGCGTTCACTCCCCGACACCTTCCAGGACCCGGCGAAGTGGCTGGGACCCAAATCTCGGTACCTTCCAGGTCGGTGCTACCAACCGCCCTGAAGAAGGTTTGGGTGACATTGCCTCAACAAGTCTCCGGCCGCGAAAGGCCGGAAAGGGGGGACAGATGATCTTGGAACACTTGGAATTGATCCACGTTTGAGATAAAGGATGGCAAACGGGAATGCATACATGACAAATATTATTATCACACACACATATATATATACACATATATATATACATATATATACATATATATATATATGTATATTCATACATATATATATATCACAAAGTATATATATATATATATGTTTATTTATTTATTTAAGTTGATTAACATTAATTTTGCCCCGTTTTGGGACAAAGCAGAATCCGTGGCCTGGATAAGGCCTCATCCAGGCGGGTGCTTTTAGGACACCCAAACTAAGTCTAGCACCATGATTGTTCAGTTTCCAGATCACATGGCCAATCTTAGATACCCTTCGCTGGTAGGTATATTAATGTATACATTATTATGTATTCATACAAGGTGGTGCCCCCTACTTATGAATTGGTCTATAAACCCTAGTAACTATACTTGTATCCTCCATCAAGCAGAGTTAACCTGTTGATAAAGTAAACCAACTTAGCTATCGTTTTGGGGGCCCGTTATATATATATATGTGTGTGTATATATACATATACATATATGCATATGTATATATATATAATTATAAATATATATACACATACATTTATGATTTTAAATAATTACAATTAATACAATCCAAATACCCTACCACACCCTACCGTACGGTACCATACCATACCATTTACATTACATTGCATTACAGTACAGTAAAGTACACTACATAAATACATAGTCGTGTCTGTCAAAAGATTGAAAGACTAAACTACATCCAGCCAAGGCTTCGATAAGTTCGCAGGCGAGGGGCCGAAAGCTGCAGAATCCCAAGCCAATCTCAGGTCGCTCCTCAGGCGCTTCACTGGACAGCTTTTCCCTGTTGGATCCATAAGGTTTTAGGATTCCGGTTGGCGAAACTGGTCAAAGAGACTCTTCATGTCGTTTACAATCCATCCACCTGCATGTATCTTAATGTGCCACATTTTTCAGCAAACAAGCAGCAGTACAAAAAAGGCGTCAAGTGAAAAACAGGCAACCCCAGCACATATTAAATCACAGCCTGGCGTTTGTTCTACGTTTGCCATCCACTCAATTACTCAATTAAGACCTCGTGTGTCTGAAAGAATGCCCTTTGGCCATCCATAATACTTCCCGACTTGTAAGATTGTTTTTTGTGTGATATATATCTTCTGGCTGCTATATATATATATACATGTATTATATATGTACATATGATAAATACATATATAACATGTATATATATATAATAATAATAAACGCCTGCTTTCCGCCAACTCCTGTCACCACCCAGCAAACATCCAGCAGCCCAGCTTCCAAGTCATCCGTACCCAAACCTTCAATCGCATTTGCCCCTGTGAAGCAGACACACCTGCGGTGCCCCAACACCAGCTACAAGTTCTGCAGATCTGCTCAAGTTCGAGAAACAAAAATGCAAACGTATAATTATAATTCATATCCCATGACGGATCCATGGTGCTGCTATATATGGTTAGCATATATATATATCCCATCAATATACCCCAGTCATGTTAGCATTTTTCTACCAGCACCATGGATCCGTCATGGGTATATATAATCCCATTAATCCTATCGTCTTCGGATTTTCGCACCTTGCACCTTGAAGAATCGGATCTCCATTCCTTGGCTTCAGAAGGAAAAAAGCAATGGATGACTCATCCACTGGCAGTGAAATAAATAACCATTAGTAATATATATATATATATATGTGTATATATAATTGGTATTAGTAATATATGTATATATATAATTGGTAAATAACCATAGAGAACCATGGTAAACCATGGTAAATATAACCATCCATATATTGGTTTACCGTGGTTTACCCATATTTAATAGTCCATTAAGAGTACATAAAGATGAATGATTCAAATTGAGAATGCAAGAGCTAATACGGGTAAAGAAATGTCATACACCATCCACTAAAAATCATGGTATAAGCGGTTTATACCATCAATAAATAATGTGAATTTGGCTTGGGGCTAAATTACTATTGTTTTACTAACATTGTGTGCTAAGTCACTGTTGCATTTCAGTGTTGTTAATAGCTATGAAGGGTCCTCACTTGTTTTTGATGCAGTTTAACCAGCAATAATATGCCCTCTGGTGGTTAAATCCAAATATCACCCCCATGGTAAACTAACATAACTATGACAAATCAAATCCTAAGACAATATGTTTGCCAAAACTACGTGTCTATTATGTTTTGGGGGCACTACATGTGTAAAACATATACAGGAGCTGAACAATCAATGTTGCGAAGTTGATGTGTGTGTGTGCAGATTGTTCAACGTCAAATCGTGTTTCACAACCACGGACACAATATCTAGAAACTTGACATATCCCAACATGACCTGACATAGTAGTCATCATGGTCTGATGGTTTCGACAGTATGGCAATGTACTCATTATGGCCAAGGGGCCTGGTCATAAATGAGCTAGCTACAAATGATCCAAACATGGTTGGTGATATGGGTCAAAATTGAGTTGAAAACCATCGGAATTAGACGCGTTGACAAGTCTGACCTATTCGTGGCATATTGCCCACCTCTACCCCAAAACATGGAATAATCCTATGTAGATGAACACATTCTAGCGCCTCCAAGTTAGGACAACAAAAAAATGTTTTTCTGATGAAAACATATGCGTTTTGGTCCTAAAAGAAAAAACTTTGCATAGCTTCGGTGGTGCCCAAGGTCGCTCTCTCTCAGTTGGTTCACAACTAGGTGGTTCACCTAGGCTGTATTGTATGGTGGATACCGTGGATGGTTGCGAAATCCTGCACCAGTTGATAGGTGTCTTATCCCACTACTTAATAGGTTGGCTGTTTTTAGAAGGCCTCTAACGTACGTCCCCGGGAATATGTCAAGAATTGAAGAGAATTATAATGGTTTTCATTACCTTAATTAAAAACAATATTAAATATACTTACTCTGTACAATTCTTTACATTTCTTTCCAATTCTTTCCATTTTTTTTCAATTCTTTCCATTTTTCTTCCAGTTCTTTCCAATTTTTTTCAATTCTTTCCATTTTTTCCAATTATTTCCAATTCTTTTCAATTCTTTTCATTGTTCTTACAATTCTTTCCAATTCTTTTCAATTCGTTCCATTTTTTCTTCCAATTCTTTCCAATTCTTATCAATTCTTTCCATTTTTTTAAAACAATTCTTTCCCATTCTTTTCAATTCTTTTCAATTCTTTTCAAGTCTTTCCAATTCTTTCCAATTCTTATCAATTCTTTCCATTTGTTCTTACAATTTCTTCCAATTCTTTGCAATTCTTTTCAATTCTCTTCATTTGTTCTGAAAGTTCTTTCCAATTTTGTTCAATTCTTTTCAAATCCAAAGAATTGTCAAAAATAGAAGAATATGAAAAGAACTGCCAGTTGTACTCCACAAGCGGTTTCTAAAAACAGCTAACTTACGTATAGGGTTTCAACCATCCTTTTGGTGGTATAAGATTTCGCAACCATCCACAGTAATGTCAAGTTAGGATTAATTAACCCATCCCGATTAATCAACCTCCACTGCCCCCCCCCAAAAAAATGTAATTTAAAAACAGGTAGTCCCCCCAGCTTAATAAACACTTTGGCCTACCCCCGATTAATCAACCCCCTGTGCTGAAATCATTTTTTTTATCCAACAATTGTTATTTATTTCCAATTCTATTTATTTCCAATTGTTTTTTACTGGAAAATAATCATCATTGTTATACCTCAGGTTTAAGTTGATCATTGAACATTTCAAAAAACAACTATTCCCCAAATGATCGATTTCTAATTATTTTTTTTATAAAAATCATCAGCTTGGATAGCTCCCAAAGGGTACCCCCCATGAGCCCATGTCCCCCATTAATAATAACCAGGGTTTGCCCCTGATTAATCAACCACCTTTCTGATCCATGAAATTTTAACAAATCCAATGGAATTCTATTAAGATCTAATTGACGTAAGCCATATCCAAAGTTTTATGGTTCAGAGTTGCTTATTATTAAGGGGTGGTCAAGAAAACTAACCAGAAGGTACCCCCCCCACCTTCTGGGGGGGGTTATTATTCCGGTGTTGGCATTATGTCCAAACTATATCAAACTATCAAACTGGGGCTTCAAAATCAGCCAATTTGGGGGCAGCATCTTGATCTTCCCATGAGGCCGGTTGAACCCGGATCCGTTGAACCCGTTGGACGCCGAGGCTCGGACATCCGTCCCCGCCCGGCTGTAGTCCACGGAGCGCACACTCTTCGGTGGCACTGCAGGATCCAAGCCGTTCAGCAGATGCGCCCGCAACAAGGTGGCGTATTCCTGAAACCATGCGGGGTGATCAAACAAAATGGTCTACTTTCACCAACAAACAGGGTGATTTCATATGATTTTATGGGATTTTATGAAATTTGAATGGGATTTGACCAACCGACATGGTGATTTCAGTGTTTATACAAGGTCCCCCATAGGCCCATAGCTACGAGATTCAGATGTGGGCTCAAGCAACCAGCTATCAGTGGGTGGGGCCAGGGTTGATTGAATCCCCATGAGATATGGACATAGCACCCAAATACGAAAAGTTGGACTGGAAAACGTGGGGAAATCGTAATGGATGCTAAAAATCTGATAATTAATACCATTATCATGATCCATTATAATCCATTATCACCCATTATCATCCATAATAAAATATTGGGAAAACATGATACCATCCTGAAACTATCCAATTGCGCCATCCTGAAATACGTGTCTATCTTTTCGTGGCTTGCTAATTAATTATGTATCATTATGTATCATTACGTATCATTATATATCATATTATATCATCATGTATCTACAATGTGCTGCCACCTCTTCTACCAGCGTAATCCGTATATAATAGCGTGTATATGTATGTATATATATATATATATATGTATATATTTCTTATTATATATTCATAGGTATCTATCTATCTAGTCTAGTCTAGTCTAGTCTACTCTAATCTAATCTCATCTAATCTAATCTAATCTCTCTTTCTCTCTCTCTCTCTCTCTGTCTCTCTCTCTCTCTCTCTTTCTCTCTCTGTCTGTCTGTCTATCTGTCTCTCTGCCTATCTGTTTATCTGTCTATCTATCTATCTATCGATCTGTCATCCTATCAATCTATCAATCTACCAATCAATTTATCTATTTAAACACCTATTCTATACATATATATATATTCTAAACAATATATCTCAATATATATCTATTTAAATACAAATAAATATATTAAATAAAGATAAAAATATGTGTATATATAATATGTATATATATATATATATACATACTCCATAAATCATAAATCCTGCATAAATATACCCTCAAGTACGAGCAGAGACCCTTGAGGAAGATTTTAGAGCCCCAAAAAGGTGTCTGAACTGATTTTCCCAGGGGTGGGGGAGGGGCCTGGGGATCAACGAATTGCTTTTGGCAACTTGTTTTGGGAGTGTTCTGGGATCAAATCTGTTCATACCAAGCTTATGATCCTAGAACCCCTTCATTTTGCTGCCTTTCTGTTGTCACAACCCACAATCTCACAAGCTCAATTATTCACCTGTTTCCTTTGCTCCCATGCTAATCCCCTTTTCCTATTTCTAACCCCCCTAATGAATAAAAATAGATCCAGATTGTCATATTCGGAAAGTTCGCCAATTTGATCTTGAATTAATCGCCTTTAGAAAACAATTTTAAGGATCAAGATCCCATTTCAGGGGTTTCATCTTTATCCTAAAAACTGATTGGTTGGGGACTGTTTATTATTCGCGTCCCTGACGATCATTTCATTTTTTGATTATTTATAGTACTTAAAGTTTTGATGTAGTTATCAGGGGAAAGCGTCGTAAGACAATTTTTGGCAGTATTTCAAATAATGTTGAATATGTTTTAATCTGTTTTAAAAAGAGCTTTCTGGCACCCAACACCTTTCGGTTGATGAATCACGTTTTTTCATTTTTGTTCAGGGATTTTGCAGGATTGGGGGTATAAGTCCATATCTATTGCCCTGGTGAAGATAAATCCACAGAATGAGATGGGAGACTTGAGGCCGGGGGTGGATGACGAAAGCTAGCGGGGTAGGAGAAAGAAGGAAGGGAAGAGGTGAGTTGCGGAAGGACTGTCATCATCGTGTCGCGGCATTGTTCGTCCCAACGAGGATGCAACAATGATATATTGATATATGATATATAACAATGATATATATGGGGGAGGGGGCAGGGGGGGGCCCTTTCGCGGGAAAAATCACGTGATGTCCTTGGGGAGCCCCGGAATACGTGCTAAAGCAAGAAGACTCTAGCGAGCTGACGCTAGCTTTCGTGATAATGACAATAATTGCCAATAATGATAAAATGTAATTGAATAACGATGATGATGATGATGATGATGAATGATGAATGATGAATGATGAATGATGATGATGATGATGATGATGATGATGATGACGAGGATGATGATGATGATGATGATGATGATGACGATGACGATGACGATGACGATGACGAGGACGACGATGATGATGATGATGATGATGACGACGAGACGAGGACGAGGACGAGGACGATGGAGAGGACGATGACGATGATGATGACGATGATGATGACGATGATGATGACGATGATGATGACGATGATGATGATGATGATGATGGTGGTGATGGTGGTGGTGGTGGTGGGGGAGGGGGGGGGCCCTTTCGCGTGAAAAATCACGTGATGTCCTTGAGCAGCCCCCCCAATACTTGCTAAAGCAAGAAGACTCCAGCTAGCTGACGCTAGCTTTCGTGATATCATTTCAGAACCTCGTGAATAACTCAACCGTTTCCGAATAATAAATCATAGTGTTTTTACATTTGGGTTCAGAGAGTTGTACAGGAATGGTGGGTCTAAGTCTAAGTTCATATCTATGGGCCTAGTGAAGATAAATCCACAGAATGAGTTGGGAGATATCATTTCAGGACCTCCTGTTGCATTGGTGAATGGTACCTGGCATCCCGTTTTTTTAACCGTGTTTATGCACTTTGCATGTTTTGGTTCAGGAGGTTGCACAGCCAAAGCGATAATTTCATATCCATGGTCCATGGCCCATGTGAACATAAACCTTCGGAGTGAACTGGGAAGATTGCATGGAAGCCACTGGGAAAAAAGGAAAAATATCAAGGAGGAAACCTGAAAGCAATTCAGATTCTAATCCCAAGCAAAAGTCCCAACTTAATACCGAACTCCCTCCCATAGATACCAATCATAGCTTCCGCAAAGGAAACTTTCTGTTCGGGACACCTTGTGTGCTTTAAAAACAACTTACCTAGTTCCGGATGGTCCATGGATATCGGAGGTGGCACATTCCAACGAACCACAAGACATTCTAGGAACCAAAAGATTCAAAGGTCTACAATGGAAGGAAGTCAAAGGTCTGGAATTGCGCGCGATCCCCATTCTAGAACCCTGGGGGTTATCCCCAGGGGGGATCTTAGACACTTCGTAGTAGAGGGTATCCATAAATCATAAATCTAAGCCATTGTAGTTAAAAGCCAACTTACCAATCGTGGGGACTCCACTTTGTAGGTCTTTGTGAAAGGCGCTGTGTAGGACTGCTCCAGCGCTGCGTTGCCCCACGCAAGCAGCCAAAGGATCAAGCAGCGGATGTGGACCGCCATGGCTCACGGAACACGAGAAACATCTACAGCTATAACCTTAAACATTTCTGACTGGCTTACAACCTTGTGTAAATGATATTATGTATATATACTATAATATATATATATAACCTTGGTTGCAGGAGCTATATTCCCATTTAGAAGTATTATATAAGGTCCACAACTGTATGCTCCTGCATGCCTGTGCTATGTGAGACATGTCAGTACTTGTGTTAGTCACCATGTCAATGGAATGTGTGTATCAATTTGGGGAGAAATAAGAACAATGCATGTGCCAATGCACAAACACATGAATGAAACATAAGGTGCGTATAAAACTAATATATATATAATTATATATATATACACATTCTAAATGCATTATGTATATAAAGCAATAAAACTTCCAAACATATGTTCCTATATTGATTTAAAGTGTCAGTCAGCTACCATGTTTTTGTTTGGCATGTCCCTCGAATTCCAAAGGCAGCCCGGAGGTTGAAACCACGTTTTTTTGGCACCTGAAACTTACATAAAACATCATAAAATCCTTTACCAATTGTAAACGCTTCTAAATGGGGCTATCATTCCATAAAATGTTGTTATACCTGACCTATCACTGGTAAAGTCTGGTAAAGGGCCATAACTGGTCTGCATGTCACTGCAATTCACTGCACCCGAAACACAGGAAATGATATGACTCTCTTATCATTCCCAGGGTTTGCATATCGCAACCCAACCGCCAAAGTGCAAGAAACTTTAGGCATAATCAATGGGAATGTAAAACCCTTGCAGTTATAGCCCTTCACAATTATAATTGACGTATTTCATGATATAGCCTTAGTTCTAGGAGTTATTTCATACCATTTTTAACTGGGTCTGTTTGAGGGCCACAACCCTGTGACCGTGCCCCGTGCCGCCCAGCTGCCATTTCTTTCGCCAGTGCCAGGCGGTCGTTCGCTGCCAGGGCCAACATTGATAAATTTAATTCCTTTTGGCGTAGTGGTTTTCAAAATCCTCGACAGGTAACCAGCGTCAATTGCGTGTCTGCGCGTGTGTGAATCAACCAATGCATATTACATATGTATATAAATGTATATATTTTTATTTACTTATTGTGTATAAATAAAAAGACATTATTGAATTATTGGTATAGATATATAGGTATTATATATACATCAATAAAATTACTAAAATTATATATATATAATATAAAATGATTTATATAATATACAACCAAAAATAAACACCTAGATATACATTATAGTACCTAGTGCCTCTAAAGTATGCCCAAAGAAAGGGATACCAGACCAACAGAAAAACTGGTGTTCCCAACTTGTGTTTTTTTGAGATGCGTTTCCTTTTGAAAAAAAAACGGCGCATGTGCAATTTTTGGCTGATGTCGGAACTGACTGAGCTTCGAGAACACTTGACGGGGGACTTAACCATCTTAACCAATGGAGGGTAATTTGAACTAGTTTGACCGGATTCTTTAGCACATGCCCAATGATTGAACATTTTTGGATTTGTGGTTGGATGTGTTTGCTGGAATTTCCCGGATTTTTGCCGGGAGTTTTAAGAAAAAACAGAAGGGACTTTATTATTTTTTTTCATTGTCTATGACTTTGTTCATCTTGGGAACGACAAGGCAAGGAATGTTGCGAGCTGTTTCA